CTAAACCAACCAAGCGTCTGCAAGTGAGAGAGTATTGTGTACAACTCCAGCTGCGATAGCTTGCAGATAATCTAGCAAAATGGACAACAGCGAGCCATATTTGCTTAAAGCAACCACTCTGTGCTCATATGCTGAAAGAAGTATTTTATTCTCACTCTTTCTCGATAATTCATTTAGAATTTATGATGTTTTTAAATTGAAACAACACCAAAAAAATAATACCACAGACTATTAAAAAAACACCCAGATTAATTAATTATAGAGATACAAACAAAAAAGGCTCATATTGTAGTGAGCAACACTGCCCTCCAGTGGACACCTTGGAACATAGCACACATAGAAACCCTGCAACATCAATGTAAGAAAATCGAAATATATCTTTCTGTAAATATAAAAAAATAGAAATAACTTACTTTATAAGGGGCACGCACTCACACTCTCACACACTCACACTCACACACTCACACCCACACACACACTCTCTCCCCAGTAAAGACTTTTTATTCTCCTTCTAGCCCAGTGACCTTTTCGATAGCAATAAGCTGGCATTCACTGAACTCTGGCACACAAATCTGCCATCATATGAGATTTCACTGTCCCCTCCAGTTAGACTCAGACTGGCCTTTAAGAGCCTGGACAGGTCGCAGAGCCCCAACCAGTTGATGATTGAGTTTGTGCAGCATTCAGGAGAACAGCTTTGACTTCATACAAAAATGATGTATTACTGCAGAAGAAGCTCATTCTCATTAATGAACGTGTCCAAAAAGACTTATTGTGTGTCCTGAAACCGCCAACCTTGAAAACAAAAACAAGTTACAGAATTGTAAATGCAAATAATTATGTTGCATTTAGATAAGTTTGTGCTGGCTAGATTTAACTGAGTAGTAGTTATGCTTTCTCTACTGTAAGTCTGGCTCCTGTACCATATTTAGAAGGACTGTCAGGAGAGTTATCAGTGTTTTATCTACTCTGCTGCAGAGGTTTAAACTGAAGTAACATCCACTCAC